AAGCAGAAGCTGCTATGCTTCCTGTACAGCTGCAGAACCATGAGCCAGTTGAATCTCTTTTCTTTACAAACTACCCAGTCTCTGGTATTTCTTTTTTTTTTTTTTTTTTTTTTTTTGAGACGGAGTTTCGCTCTTGTTACCCAGGCTGGAGTGCAATGGCGCCATCTCGGCTCACCACAACCTCCGCCTCCTGGGTTCAGGCAATTCTCCTGCCTCAGCCTCCTGAGTAGCTGGGATTACAGGCACGCGCCACCATGCCCAGCTGATTTTTTGTATTTTTAGTAGAGACGGGGTTTCACCGTGTTGACCAGGATGGTCTCGATCTCTTGACCTCGTGATCCACCCACCTCGGCCTCCCGAAGTGCTGGGATTACAGGCTTGAGCCACCGCGCCCGGCCTGGTATTTCTTTATAACGATACAGGAATGGACTAATGCAGACCCTCTCTGTCTGCTTACATAAGGAGAAAAATAAGGCAGGAAAGGAAAACAGTGAGTGTTGGGACTCTCAGGAGTGGTGTTGGCATCTCAGAAGAGGTGGGCAGGGAAGCTCATGAGAGCGTGACACATGAGTGAACATCTGAAGGTGGTGAACATTCCAGGAAAAGGAACACCAAGGCAAGGTCCTGAGTTGGGAGTATGTTTGCAGTGTTTTAGGAGCAACTGGAAGCCAGTGTGGCTGGAGTACAGTAGCACGGAGAGTAGAGGACATGAGGTCAGAGAGGGAGTAGCAGGGATGGGGGAGGGGGAGAGGGACACCAGGTAGGGACTTTAGGCTATTGCAAGGACTTTCGCTTTTGCTATGATGAGTGAGAGGATATGGAAGACTGATATTTGCTAAATTGTTTCTTCTTCTTTCTGTGAACCCAGCTAGACCACATTTCCCAGCCTCTCTTGCAGTGTGGCCATGTAGCTGAGCTCTGACCAAAGGAAGGAGGGTGGAGATGTTGTACACTACTTCCAGTACTGGCCATGCAGACCTACCATGTGCAGTTCTCCAAGCTCATTCTCTTTCTGTGGCTAGAAGCTGTGTATTGCAGATGGCAGAGGCCAGGTTCCTGTGAAACTACCACTCAGTTTTTGAAGCAGCAACACCATTTTTGGACTCTTTGTGACTGAGAGGTAGAACTTCTATTAGCTATTTTATACCTTTACATATTAGGATTTATCTCTTTCAGAGATATCATTGCCTTAACTAATATAGAAGGGAAGACATTGGAAGGTTTTGAGCAGAGAAGTAACATGATCTAAGATTATGAAAGGATCACATTAGACTGAAAGGGAGTAAAGTTAAGGAACAGAGAGAGTGCATTTAGGAGGTGGTTTGCAGCAATCTAGGCGAGTGATGATAATGGTTTGGTTGAGGTGGGTAGCAGTGGAAGTAGTAAGAATATAAAATTCTGAGTATGATAACCACTCTTGAAAGTGGTTTGAAAGGATTTCCTAATGGGTTGGAAATTGAGTGGAGAGAAAAAGAGTCAAGGATGACTCCAAGAGTTTGAGCAAGTAGAAAAATTAAGCTTCCACTTATTTGGATAGAGAAAACTTTAGAGAGAACAAAGTTTTGAGGGTTAATTGTTTTGTTGTTGTCGTTGTTGTTGTTATTGTTGTTGTTGTTTGAGATGGAGTCTTGCTTTGTCGCCCAGGCTGGAGTGCAGTGGCATGATCTCTGCTCATTGCAAGCTCCGCCTCCTGAGTGCAAGTGATTCTTATGCCTCAGCCTCCAGAGTAGCTGGGATTATAGGCATGCATCACTACATCTGGCTAATTTAACGGATAATACTGAGAGATTTGTTTTGGGCATATTGAGATACATATTAGGCATTCAAGTACAGATCTCAACTAGGCAGTTGGATATGTATCTCTAGAGTTCATAGCGGTCTGGACTAAATATATAAATTTAGGAGTATATTGGTGGAATGAAATCCATGTGTTTTGATTACAAGAGACTCAAGGACTGAATCCTGGGAATTTCTGATGTTCAGCTATGATTGGGGGTGTTGATGAAAATGAATCAGCAAAGGAACTGAGAAAAAGGCTAATGAGAGAGGAGGAAAGGCAGGAGAGTGTCCTGGCGAAAAGGTTCAGGGAGAAAGCATACTCCTGACTGTGAGGTGGGGCCTGGTTGGCCATGGGCTTTAGCAGTGTGGGAATCTTTGACAGGTTTGTCAAGGTAGTGGATGCAAAACCCTGATTGAAGGGCTTCAAGAGGCAATGGAGATTTCAAAAAGCTGGATCCTTTTCACAGAGTTTGCCGTAAAGGGGTGGAGAAAACTGGAGCAAGAAGGCAGAGGGGCCAAGAGAGGTTTTGTTTTATTTCGTTCTGTTTTTAATGGAAGAAATAAGTATGTTTAGGAGGCATACCAGTATATTTGTTGCTGATGGGAGGGATCTAGAAGTACAGATCAAACTGATGACATAAGAAAAAGGAAGAGTTGCTGGTGCAACATCCTTGAGGGGGATGGGATGGGATCTAGTACAAAAGGGGAAGGGCTGGACTTTGCTTGGAGAAAAGTTTCTCCATAGTAACAAGGAGAGAAGCCAGAGTCAGTGGGTCCGGATCTAGGTAACTGGTAGATATGAAAGCCTGAAATTCTCTTTCAATTGTGACTATGTTCTCAGTGAAACAGGAAGCCTGGTCATTCGGGGCATTGGCAGTTAGAGGAGAGGGAAGGTGTGAAATAGCCGTTCAGCAGAGTGAGCAGACTTGGGGGAATGTAGGATGATTTCCAGGCAACATCAACGACCCTCTTGAGTCTACGATGATGACTTTGCAGTGAGACTGGTTAGTATGTCATGTGATCTTCTCCAGGGGGGTTCAGTGGCAAGTTCAGCAGCATCACACAGGCATGGAGTTGGTAGAGAGCTGGATTTTGCCAAGGGAAGAAAGAGAGACACAAAGATGTTGAGAGTGCATGCCAGGAAGTGATAATAATAATGACTGATCACAGGTAATCTCAGTTACAGGGGAAGGGAATGAGAACATGAAGAGAGTGAGGGACAGTGAAAACCTGTTAGAAGCAATAACTTGTAGGATTGGTGGGTCAATGGATTATTGGACTCAGGAAAAAAGAGGAAATGGATATAGCTAGGGAGTGGGACTAATGGAGTTATGTACAGCTATTAATGACAAATACTAGGGTAAAATCAAGGGAGACTGTGGTTGAGGAGGGTGGAAAAAGTAATATTGGAAGGCAGGAGTTCAGGAAACAGAGATCAAAGTATGGGAAGGATCATCGATGTGGATGTTGAAATCACTAAGAATCAGGACGTAACTACCTAACTCAGCCCTAGAGTAATGATGATCCAGGAGCTTATTTTTTAGCCCTCCAACCATTTCAGTCTGAAAACTACTTTAGTGAGGAAAAAGACCCTATTAGGATATCTTTTTTTTTTTTTTTTTGAGACGGAGTTTCGCTCTTGTTGCCCAGGCTGGAGTGCAATGGCGCGATCTTGGCTCACCGCAACCTCCGCCTCCTGGGTTCAGGCAATTCTCCTGCCTCAACCTCCTGAGTAGCTGGGATTACAGGCACGTGCCACCATGCCCAGCTAATTTTTTGTATTTTTAGTAGAGACGGGGTTTCACTATGTTGACCGGGATGGTCTCGATCTCTTGACCTCGTGATCCACCTGCCTCGGCCTCCCAAAGTGCTGGGATTACAGGCTTGAGCCACCGCGCCCGGCCTAGGATATCTTAAGTCAAATCAAAACCTCCCAAAATATCCTGCCCAATTGGAGGATGGGCAGATTTCCTGAAATATTCATAGTCTGTTTCTCATTAAATGTGAAATTTTTCTTTTCTCAAGACAGGATCTCACTCTGTCACCCAGGCTGAAGTACAGTGGCACACTCATGGCTCACTACGGCCTCGACTTTCTGGGCTCAAGCAATCCTCCTACCTCTGCTTCTCCCTTGTAGATGGGACTACAAGCACATGCCACCACTCCCAGGTTTTTTTTTTTTTTTCTGTTTTTGGCAGCGATGGGATTTCGCCACGTTGCCCAGGCTGGTCTCCAACTTTTGCGCTCAAGCCATTTACCTGCCTTGGTCTCCCAAAAGGCTGGGATTACAGGCAAGAGCTACTGCACCTGATAGATAATATGGCACATTTTAAACAAAGAGGCCAGTCCATAGACCATCTGACAAACACTCCTTAGTGACTCTCTTCATCTGTAATTGATAAACCTCTGATCAACCTACATTTTGAGACTTTATCGCCTATCTCTGGAATCTCTAATTTAAAAAGCACTAACAATGCATGTTGGCATTTTAAGGAGTGTTATACAAAAAGGAAGTTAAAAGCCAGTGTTTGCAGCACTGAGATAATAGCAAACTTAGGGAATTTGAACACAAAAGAGAAATTCACCCTACCTTACACACCTTGTCTTATTGCCTCCCACAGGAACCTTTCTGCAGCTCAAACCCAAACCTCTATTTGGAACACCAAGGCTGGGCTAGCAAGTCCAAGTTAGGGAGCAGGCCAACAAAGAAAGAATACAGCTTTAATCAGAAGAGAGGAACTAGCAAGAAAAACAGACAGAAAGGGAAACTGAGGGAGTCTGGCAGTTCACACTTGTCCAGAGTGGTCTGAGCAGGGAAGAAAACGTATTTCTTTTTTTTTTGGTTTATGGCTTTACTTCCAAGTTTTAAATTAGATAAATAGAAGCTTGGTGAGCATCCCTCAGGGCTGTGCCTCTTCTCTTGTCCTCTTTATCCTGTCTGCCAAGTCTCTTCTGTTTCCTGTTACCACTTGTCTCGCGTCTCTCATCCGCTTTGACTTCCTCCTTTCTTGCCACTCCTTTTTTGCTCCCTTCCACTTCTCTGCTCCTACTTCCCTCTCACTCCTTTCCTCCATCGCTCGGTCCTGGCCATTCTGAGCACACATCTTGCTAGGCCAGCTCTGGCAGCAGCATGGAGGCAGGGAGTGGCGAGGTGCAGTGGTGAGGACGTGGTTACGTACAGCTGGAAAGGCTCTGCTGTCACCGTGAGATGATTCTATTTTTCCCGATAATCCCTCAGAAGCTGAATGCTACAGAGTAGTGTTGATGAGGCTTGCACAGATTCTCCCCAGTGCGGAAGGGTGGCTCAAATAGAATTTCCTGTGAGTGTAGGAGAGAAAAGTGTTTGATAGGATATAAATTACCTAAAAAGCTCTTTTGTGGGCACAAAGATACTACGCTAATTTAAAAATTATCAACTCTTCATAATAGGTATCTTATAAGAATTGGTGGTGGCCAGGCCCAGTTGCTCACTCCTATAATCTTTGGGAGGCCAAGGTGGGCAGATCACCTGAGGTCAGGAGTTCAAGAAAAGACTGGCCAACATGGGGAAACCCTGTCTCTACTAAAAATACAAAAATTAGCTGGGCGTGGTGGCAGGTGTCTGTAATCCCAGCTACTCAGGAGGCTGAGGCGGGAGGATCACCTGAACCTGGGAGGCGGAGGTTGCAGTGAGTGTAGGTCATGCCACTGCACTCCAGCCTGGGTGACAGAGCGAGACTCTATCTCAAAAAAAAAAAAAAAAAAAAAAAGAGTTGGTGGTTTATTAACAATATTTTACTTTAGAAAACAGAAATCAGGCTGGGCGCGGGTGGCTCAATCCTGTAATCCCAGCACTTTGGGAGGCCGAGGCGGGTGGATTACAAGGTCAAGATTGAGACCATCCTAGTCAACATGGTGAAACCCCGTCTCTACTAAAAATACAAAAAATTAGCTGGGCATGGTGGCGCGTGCCTGTAATCCCAGCTACTCAGGAGGCTGAGGCAGGAGAATTGCCTGAACCCAGGAGGCGGAGGTTGCAGTGAGCCGAGATCGCGCCATTGCACTCCAGCCTGCGTAACAAGAGCGAAACTCCATCTCAAAAAAAAAAAAAAAAGAAAAGAAAAAGAAAACAGAAATCAGTTGTGCTCACCATTTAGAACAGGGGCTGTGAGCTGGCGGCCTCCAGGCTGAATGCGATCTGCAGATATGTTTTTTTTTGCCCACTAAGTGTTAGCCAATACTGTGCTTTAATATTTTGTGGGAAGGTGGTATGCCACATATGTCCAGATTTTTGGCTTCTCTTAAAAAGTCAGAATATTTGGTCTGGATTCCAGCATGGCAACAATTAATGGAAGTCTTAATTGAAACTTTCACCTTCTCATTGCCACTGTCCCCACCACTCCCTGTTGTCTTCTCAGTTTTGACACTCCCTTTTAAGGAAATCGATCTCTGGCCAGACAGAGGCACATAGGAAGTACTTCACAAGTGTTCATTAGATGAATGTGTGGATGGACGAATGCGCATTGAGCATGAAGAGAAGGACTGGGTGGGACCTTAGGAGTTCTGACCGCACCCCTGCTCCCTTAGCCTCCTTCCTTTTCACTCTCTGCACCCAACCAAAATAGTAAGAAAGCTCTTCAAGAGCTCCAGGAAAGGAAAAGAGAGGAAGGAGCACATGGAGACTCTGCAGAGGAGACCCCTTACACCTCCCACAAAGCAAAACAAAGCAGCTGTAGTGTCAACAGCATCTGGGGAACTTTGGGGGCCCTGGAGGTGCCACACATCAGGGTTTTGCTCAACCCAGTTGGAAAAAGAGGGCTGAGGTTTCTGTGGCCAACATCACTCGACCCCACCCCACAGCTTTCTGGAATCACCCTCAGGACCCCAGGACCTGACCCAGCCCTGAGGCTAAACACCAGGGCTGCCCCACCATGGTAGGGGATTACTCCCATTGCTGTACCTATGGGTGGGGCCCGCTGTGGCCCGGAGGAGGCTGCCAGAGTGCTGAGGAGTGAGAGGGGCTGCAGCCCGGAGGGGTTCTCTCTTTCCCACTCTCCGCATGTGAATGAAGCCCTCCAACGTAGGTCACGGATGCAAGGGATGCTGTCTTCACCGGAAGAATCTTTCTCTAAGTCAAGTAAAGAAATGCGTTTGCTTGTACGCTGGTTCCCAGAGCACTCACAGGCTACAACCAACATCTGGGGGCTGCTTATAATGTGCCAGGCACCATTCCAAACAATTACATGCATTCATGGTCCTTTAATCCTCACCACAACTCTGTGAGGTCAGAGAGGGTGAGTAATTTACCAATGGGCACACAAAGAGAGGCAGAGTCAGAATTCCAAGCCTGGAAGCCCAGCTCCAGAGTCCATGTTCTTACCACTATGTCATGTGAACAAGACAGCACCAGTAAAAGGAGAGACCCGATATGATTCAGAAGGGTTAACTGAGTGAATTTCCCCAGGAGACTCATTTAGCTGACGTAGCAATGGCCTTGAACCCAGAAGGCCTTAAGCCAGAGCCCTTTTCTTGGTCCACTTGGTCCCAGCTTTTCAAAGGATGGCCCATAGCCCAGTGAACCTTTGGCATCACCTGGGGGGAGCATGTTAGAATAGCAGGCTGAAGCCCGCTAGACCCAAAGAAATTAGAATCTGCCTTTTAACAAGATCTGTGGGGGACTGTTTGCCCATTAAAGGTTGGGAAACACTGCGGTAATGGGCCACACCGCCTGCTGGAGGGGAGTGGAAAGATTCAGCCACACAGGTACTGTTGGGTCTCTGGTTTTTCCAACTCTAAGTCTCTCTTTGTCATCCAAAAGTTCCAAGAGGCTGGGGTTTAACAGTCCTTTTAAACTGAGAGGGTACGCTACCTCACCCAATGAGAAAAGAGGGCCTGGAGGCCACCTGGGATGGTTAATTTCAGCCTAGAAACGTCTTGGGTGTGGTAGCTCCTGTGATGCCAGATACCCTGTGATCCTACAATTTTAGCTGTTTTCTCAAGTCCCAGAAATGTTTGAAATATTTGTCACATCTGTTTTCCTCAACCCTAATGCCATGGGGTGTATTTTGAGTGTGTATGTTTATATGTATGTGTGTCTGAATTACAGAGAAACGAATCACCATCGAGTCATTAGTTGCACAACATGAGAAAACATTCCTAGGCTTGGACAAAATGTGAAGCAGCCACAGCTGTGCTTACCATTTAGAACAGGGGCTGTGAGCTGGTGGCCTCCAGGCCGAATGCGGTCTGCAGATATGTTTTGTTTGCCCACTAAGTGTTAGCCAATACTACGCTTTAATATTTTGTGGGAAGGTGGTATGCCACATATGTCCAGACTTTTGGCTTCTCTCAAAAAAATCAGAACATTTGGCCTGGATTCCAGCGTGGCAACAATTAACGGAAGTCTTAATTGAAGCTTTCACCTTCTCATTGCCACTGTCCCCACCACTCCCTGTTGTCTTCTCAGTTTTGACACCAAGTGTCAGCTGCCAGCAGTTGTTTTACTTATAACAGAATTTAGAGAAAAGTTAACCTGTTCTTACATTCATGTCACCCAGCCCTTTACCCATTTATATCACCTGCAGACCTATGCATTTGTAATCCCTGAGTTAGAAGAAAGTTAGCAGAGTTCCCCTGGGACCTATAGCCTTCTCTAAATTTATAGATATCTTATGATATTCTGCCTGCCTGCTGAGCCAATATGAAGTATTGATTTGTGGCGTGGTGTATGGGTATTTATTGTCCCATTGTGTTCTCAGCCCTCTACTTTATGCTGCGGATAATTGAGAAGCATGAAAACAATTTAGTATTCATTGAAGAAATGTGCCTCAAACTTATAAAACAACTAGGGAATCACGAAAGAGAGGTTGTGATCAAGGAAGGATTATCCTGAGCAGGAAGGTGCTGTGTGAAGGACAGGATTTAGACGGATAGGGAGGATTTAGAGGGAAGCATCGAGGGGAGGGAGTGGATGGAGATGAAGGAGGCACGGGATGGATACAGTTTGCTGAAGCAAAAGATGTGGGCTGGAGAAGATGATTAGGCCAAGGGCTCCTATTAGAGGCAGAGTGAGTGATCAGGTGAGATGGGTGAGATGGGGAAAGTTTGTGCAGGGCCATGCATGCCACACTGAGTGGATTTGGGGTTAACTAGAGCCTGGAAATAGAGAACTGGGTGCTTTTCCCAGAATACATTATGCTCCCTCATGCAGACTCTGTCTCTTCTTCCTGGAATGCCCTGCCTTATCTGTTCCAGCCAGCTCACCTGCACTCATGGTCTATGACTCAATTCAGAAACCATGCCTCCCAGGCCAGCTTCCTGGCAGGAACAAGGGACCCCCTTCTTTATGCTCCTTTGGTCCCCTAAGCATAAGCTTTGAATGTTTCCTGGAAGGAGACGTTCTGTAATTCGGGGATTTCCCCATCTGACACCACCAAATTTTGAACTTCTTGAGAGAACATGGTGTCTTTCTACATGATGACCCTCAAGCCCATCACAGTAACTGGCACTTACACAGTACTCAGTGCATGTTTTTGAAGAATAAATGGATAAAGGAACTTGTGGAAGAGTGCTGCAGGCATGAGATGAGTAGGGCTGGGCTAGGGTAGGGTCTGTGAGTGTAAAAGTGAAGAAAATAGAAGATACATTGCAAAGAAAGAAATTGACTAGGACTTCGTGCCAACTTAACTGTGGTGGCCAGAGAGCTTAAAGGAATTCAAACTAAGGCATGGAAGGACAATGGCAATACCGACAGCACCAGGACAACTGGAATGGGAGCTGGGGAGCATCTTGTTCTTATATCCAGAGTGGAAAGCTCTTTGAGGTATGGTACCCTGTGCCCTCCCTTACCTGAGCTGTTCTTGTTGGTCTCCACCTTTTTGCTGCTCCTGAAACTCGAGCCATTTCAGGATCAAGGAAATGAAAGTTGAAAGTAAAGGAAAAGAACATTAAATTTGTATTTCAGATCTTGTTCCAAAGTTCCTGATGCAAAGCTTTAGAGACAGATATAAATATGAAAAAAGCCAGCTGTGGCTATATTGGATGGGTGTGACGCATATTAAAGTTCCAGAAAAAAAAAAAACAACAAAAAAAAAAAACAGGGAAGGGGAGGTGGAATGGGGTGGGAGGTGAGGAGCAGAGCCCATGCTGCTGATTTCGCTGAGGAGGAGGGGTGACTCCATCTGTTCAGTTCTGCATTTCAGCCATTTATTATATTTGCTGTTAAGTTGCATCTTGTTGCTAAATGTGCAGAAATTGATAATAATTGCAACCAGACTAGAACCAGCCTGAATCAGAGAAAAATCATCACTCAGGGGCTTCATTCTGGGAAACTGAAGAGGAGGAACTAAATGTCTGTACAAAGCAATTATCGAGATAGCAGTGAAGCCAAAACGAATCCCTTCCTCCCTCATTTCTTACATCCCTCTCATCTGCCCAGACTAGGTTGCCATAGCTCCTTAGCTGCTTTTTCCATGTCTCTCCTTCCCTTCAAATTAACTGTCAGGCAACAGCTAGCATGACCTTTTCAAAATGTAAATTGGATCACGTCACTTCCCTGTTTAAAATGCTGCTAAAGCTCCCATGACACTGGAAGTCTAGATTTCTTTGCATGGCTTCCCAAGCCCTGCCTGGCTCACTCTCTGCTTTCTTCTGCGTATTCTCTTCCATCACTACCTGCTCTTCCTTTCCACCCAAGTTTCTTCTTTTGTGGAAGTCTCAGCCTTGCACCTGTCCATTCCCTTAACCTGCCTGGCCCTTCTTCACCCTTTCTTTAGCAGTCTATTGCCGATTTTCTCCTTCAGATCTTACTCCTCTCAGCTTCTGGAAATATTAAAAGCTATCTGTGCCAGAGAGTGCCAGTAGGTCCCCAGTGACCCTTTTTCCTTTCTTCCTTGGGAGCAGAGTGACTAATTTTGTGTTGGTACATGACTATGCAAAACAGGGAATGCATTTCCCAGCCTCCCTTGCAGCTGAGCAAGGCCATGTGACTGAGTGTGGCCAATGAGATATAAACAGAAGCTATTCTTTAAACAGTCATTTAAAAATCAGTGATTTGGCCAGGCACAGTGCTTCACACCTGTAATCCCAGCACTTTGGGAGGCTGAGGCGAGTGAATCACATGAGGCCAGGAGTTCAAGACCAGCCTGGCCAACATGGTGAAACCCCATCTCTAATAAAAATACAATAATTAGCCAGGCATGGTGGTGGGCACCTGCATTTTTTTTTTCATTCATGTATTTATTCCACAGTCAAAATAAGTCATAATTTAAAGCTATAACATTTTTAAAAGATAAAGGAGAATTTGTGGCAAAGCTATATTCATAAAACAGACACCAGTCTAAAGTGCAACACTAAGCAGGTGTTCTCCGTTCCCATGGTGGAATAAATACACACAATTACACATAAGATTTCACTGAAGACAGAAGATGAGGCAAATAACCCTTTGAAATGAACTGCCCAATGAGCAGAGGCAAGTTACAAATAATTTCTTTTTTTTTTTTTTTTTTTTTTTTGAGACGGAGTTTCACTCTTGTTACCCAGGCTGGAGTGCAATGGCGCGATCTCGGCTCACCGCAACCTCCGCCTCCTGGGTTCAGGCAATTCTCCTGCCTCAGCCTCCTGAGTAGCTGGGATTATAGGCACGCGCCACCAACGTCTTACTGCAAAATGGAAAAAATCCCCGAGGTGACTACTGACTCCAACCCCTCATTTTATGCATATGGCCTTGGCTACTGCAGTCTTTCCACAGCCACATTCAAATCCAGAAAGGCTTCTGCACCCTATGCTCAAAAACGCAACCTCAAGTCCCTGAGGCACAGACTGACATTAATGAGTCTGTGTGCAACTTTCATCCAAAACCCCCAGGGAAATCAGGAGCAAAAACACAGAGCACCGCAGCGTTTCTTTAAACAATGGCTTTAACTGTGGAATGAGCTCTGACAAGCCATATGCATTTCATCAACAAACCTAAATTCCCAGCTACATCGGAGGCTGAGGCATGAGAATTGCTTGAACCTGAGAGGTGGAGGTTACAGCGAGCTAAGATTGTGCCATTGCACTTCAGCCTGGGTGACAGAGCGAGACTCTGTCTCAAAAAAGAAAGAAAGAAAAAAAATCAGTGATTTAATATTTTGAGACAGCCAAAAAGTAGCTTCAAAATACCTTGCTCTATTAGAGTCCAGGGCTCAGCAATATGATAACTCATCAAGAAGTTCTTTAATTACAGATCTCTGTATGGCATATGGAAGGACAAGCTCCCGAGTATATTCTTTACACAGGGCAACAGATAAGTCTTTTTCTTGTGTTAATAGTTTTCTACTTCCAGCCAAATTAGAATCAATAATACAAGTTAATACTTATTGAGAGCTTATTTATAATTTGCCCCTAAATCTGCTGAGGAGCATTCTAAGTGCTTGATGCATATGAGCTCATTTGATCCTGACGACATCTGAATGAGGTTAGCACTATTTTCATTGCCATTTTACAAATCTGAAAACTGAGCCCTCAAGTTTCAATATGCTCAAGGAGTTGTCCTGTCTCCCTCTCTCTCTCTCTCTCTCTCTCTCTTTTTTTTTTTTTTTTTTTGAGACGGAGTCTTGCTCTGTCACCCAGGCTGGAGTGCAGTGGCATGATTTCTGCTCACTGTAACCTCTGCCTCCCAGGTTCAAGCGATTCTCCTGCCTCAGCCTCCTGAGTAGTTGGGATTACAGGTGTGTACCACCACGCCCAGCTAATTTTTCTATTTTTAGTAGAGACAGGGTTTCACCATGTTGGTCAGGCTGGTATTGAACTCTTGATCTTGTGATCTGCCCACCTCAGCCTCCCAAAGTGCTGGGAATACAGGAATGAGCAACTGCGCCCAGCTCAACTCCTGTGTCTCGTAAACCAACCAGTTTTATACCAAGACTTAATGCTAAGTCATCTGTGCATACAGTGATATTTCCACAGTCATGAAGAAGATAGAGCCGTACCATGGAGCTTTCCAGAACAGACTCTATATTAAGAAAACGACCACGGATGCTCCAAAAAGTCCAAGCAGAGACAGAGTGAGTAGGTAAGTAAATCCAGTAAGTTGACAATGTTTTAAACAATGTTTTGGTTATTTCTCTGTAGGACTAGAAACTGGATTAGAAATTAGGTTTTACGTGACTGGCATGGTGGCTCATTCCTGTAATTCCAGCACTTTGGGAGGCCAAGGCAGGTGGATCGCTTGAGGCCAGGAATTTGAGACCAGCCTGGCCAGCATGGTGAAACACTGTTACTTCTAAAAAGAAAAAATTGGTTGGGTATGGTGGCATACGCCTGTAGTCTCAGCTACTGGGATCTGTAATCCCAGCTACTTGGGAGGCTGAGGCAGGAGAATTGCTTGAACCCTAGGGGACAGGGCAAAAGTCTGTCTCAAAAAGAAAAGAAGAAGAAAAAAAAAGACTGTATAGTGAGTGGCAGTATTTCAGGGTCTGTCCCTGGTCTCATTAACCAAGATATTTGGTTTCTGTATCTCACAGCTCAGACCATCTGGGATGCAGAAAGGAATGTCAGAGGCTGGCCTGTTTTAAGTCATGTACCTCAAATGTTTCTGCTGGTGTAAGTCGGCAAAAATCTGAGAGAGGGCTTCACTCTCCCCCTTGGCCATTAGTTGAATGAGACTCTCACTGGGCTGTGAGGCTTGGAGTTTCTTCTGTTCTACCTATATGGAGAAAAAAAAGCAGAACAAGGTGGTTAAGGCCTTAGGGTCTTCACATTTTCCTAATATCATTGTCCAGACTCTAAAGTGTTAGAACTCAGAATTTTCCAAGGTGCAGCCATACTAGCTGCTCATAAAGGCAATTCTGAGGCCATATTTGTTAGTTTACACTCTTTGTATTGGTAAAAATATCCTCTTCTGCCTTAAGGGGAATATCTTCATTACATACTTTTAACATAACTTAGCAGATACTCATTCTTATTAATATACCTGAATATCATGTATTAATAGCTTATTAATATAAGCTTTAATAAAGTTTATGCTGCTTGGTTTTATACTTAAATGTAGGGGAATACTATCTTTGTTATAGAAATTTAATTAGTGTTTTAAAACTTAATTTCTCTAAGAAATATCCTCTAGTAAGCTGCTTTTTACATCAGGACAAAATTAATTTTCCTGCTGCCTATGACACTCCAAAGTGCTCCAGTTGTGCATGCTGTCCATAGCTGCTCATTCCTTCCATGTATATTGAATGCCAACTAGCTACCAGATACCAGGGATACAGCAGTAAAGAAGACAGACAAAAACCCCTGCCTTCATGGAGTTTCTGTTGTAGCTCAAGTCAGACTTATACTCATCATGTTCTGGGGCAAAAAAGCTCACTGGTAAATTCTATCAAATATTTAAAGAAGTAATAGCAATGCTTCATGAACTCTTTCAGAAAATAGAGGAGGAAATACTTCTAACTCCTTCAATGAGGCTAATATTAACTTGATGCCGAAGCCAGGGTATCAAAGATATCACAAGAAAACTGCAGAACACTATCTCTCATGAGCATAGATACAAAATTCCTTAACATAATGTGAGAAAACTGAATCTAGCCGGGCACGGTGGCTCAAGCCTGTAATCCCAGCACTTTGGGAGGCCGAGGCGGGTGGATCACGAGGTCAAGAGATCGAGACCATCCTGGTCAACATGGTGAAACCCCGTCTCTACTAAAAATACAAAAATTAGCTGGGCATGGTGGCGCGTGCCTGTAATCCCAGCTACTCAGGAGGCTGAAGCAGGAGAATTGCCTGAGCCCAGGAGGCGGAGGTTGCGGTGAGCCGAGATCATGCCATTGCACTCCAGCCTGGGTAACAAGAACGAAACTCTGTCTCAAAAAAAAAAAAAAAAAAAGAAAAGAAAACTGAATCTAGAAACATATAAAAAAGAAGTATATACACCATGATCAGGCGAATTTTATCACAAGGACACAAAGTTGGTTTAACATAAAAAAAATCAATTAATGTAATATGTTATATTAACAGAATAAAGGACAAACTATATAATCATCTTAATAGATGCAGAGAAAGCATTTAACAAAATCTAATACTCATTCATGATAAAAAAAGAAAACTGTTTAATAAATTAGGAATAAAGGGAACTCCTCAACCAGATAAAGGGCATCTATAAATATTCATAATAAGCATCATACTTAATAGCAGAAGACTGAATGTTTGCTTTTGCCTCTTTTGTTAAACATGTACTGGAGGTTCTGGCTAGTGCAGTAGAACAATAAGCAAATCTAGATTGGAAATGAAGATGTGAAACTGTACTTATTGCAGACGACATGAGTGTGTGTGTGTGTGTGTGTGTGTGTGTAGAAAATCTCAAGGAATCTATAAAACTGCTATAATGTATAATAAGGTTAATATTAAAAAACAAATTGTATGTCTAATACTATCAATGAATGACCCCAAAACAAAATTAAGAAAACACAAACAAAATTCAGTTCACAGCAGCATCAACAATACTTAGGAAAACATTCAAAAAAAGAAGTGAAGAACTTGTTTACTAAAAACTACAAAACAGGCCAAGCGTGTGGCTCACACCTATAATCCCAGCACTTGGGAGGCTGAGACAGGAGAACTGCTTGAACCCAGAAGTTCTCCCATAAGACCAACCTAGCAAGACCTCGTCTCTGTTAAAAACAAAACAAAAGCTACAAAACATTGCTAAGAGAAACTAAAGTATTGAAATCAATGAAAAGACATTCTATATTCGTATATTGGAAGACTCAATATTGTCAGGTGGCACTTCTCCCCAAAGTGATATATAAATTCAACATGCACTTATCAAAATTCTAAAAGTTTTTTTCAATGGAAATTAACAAACTGATTCTAAAATTTATATAAAAATGCAACAGATCTAGAATAGCCAACACAGTTTGAAAAAGAACAAAATTGGAAGACTTATATCATCCATTTTCAAACTTAATATAAAGCTGCATTAACCAAGACATTGCTGTATTCACACAAGAATAGGCAAACTCCAAATCAACAGAATGCAACTGAGAATTCAGAAACAGATTCTTTTTTTTTTTTTTTTTGAGACAGAGTTTCACTCTTGTTACCCAGGCTGGAGTGCAATGGCGCGATCTTGGCTCACCGCAACCTCTGCCTCCTGGGTTCAGGCAATTCTCCTGCCTCAGCCTCCTGAGTAGCTGGGATTACAGGCACGCGCCACCACGCCCAGCTAATTTTTTGTATTTTTAGTAGAGACGGGGTTTCACCATGTTGGCCAGGATGGTCTCAATCTCTTGACCTCATGATCCACCTGCCTCGGCCTCCCAAAGTGCTGGGATTACAAGCTTGAGCCACTGCGCCCGGCCGCAGAAACAGATTTTTATGGTTATGGTAAACTGATTTTTGACAAAGTTGCTAAGACAATTCAGTGTGGGAAGGAATAGTCTTTTCAACAAATGGTTCTGGGCTAATTGCATATCCAAATACACAAAAAAAGTACTTAGACCATTACCTCATTCCATACATAAATATTAACTCAAAATGGATCAGAGACCTAAATGTAAGAGCTGAATCTATGAAACTCCTAGAATAAAACATAGGATAAAATCTTTGTGACTTTGGAATGAACAAAGAGTTTTAGATATGCATTAAGAACCTGATTCAAGCCGGGCGCGGTGGCTCAAGCCTGTAATCCCAGCACTTTGGGAGGCTGAGGCGGGTGGATCACGAGGTCAGGAGATCCAGACCATCCTGGTCAACACGGTGAAACCCCGTCTCTACTAAAAATACAAAAAATTAGCTGGGCATGGTGGTGCATGCCTGTAATCCCAGCTACTCAGGAGGCTGAGGCAGGAGAATTGCCTGAACCCAGGAGGCGGAGGTTGCGGTGAGCCGAGATTGCGCCATTGCACTCCAGCCTGGGTAGCAAGAGCGAAACTCCGTCTCAAAAAAAAAAAAAAAAGAACCTGATTCATAAAAGAAAAAGCTTCATGCCTGTAATCCTGGCACTTTGGGAGGCTGAGGATGACAGATCACTCCTGAGGTCAGGAGTTTGAGACTAGCCTGGCCAACACAGTGAAACCCTGTCTACTAAAAAATACAAAAAATTAGCTTAGTGTGGTGGCACATGCCTGTAGTCCCAGCTACTCGGGAGGCTGAGTTGGGAGAATCACTTGAACCCAGGAGGTGGAGGTTGCAATAATCCGAGATTATACCATTGCACTCCAGCCTGGGGAACAGAGCGAGACTCCGTCTCAAAAAAAAAAGAAGGAAAAAGTTGATAATTGCACTTTATCCAAATTTAAAACTTTTGCTCCTCAAAAACATCATTAAGAATGAAAGGCAATTCATAGACTGAGAGAACATATTTGCAAATCATATATCTGATGAACTTGTACCCAGAATATACAAAGCATTTGTACAATGCAATAAGAAGAAAAACCCAGTTGAAAAATGGTCAAGGCCGGGCACGGTGGCTCAGGCCTGTAATCCCAGCACTTTGGGAGGCCGAGGAGGGTGCATCACCTGAGGTCAGGAGTTCGAAATCAGCCTGGCCAAAATGGTGAAACCCTGTCTCTACTAAAAACACAAAAATTGGCCGGGTGCAGTACTGCATGCCTGTAATGCCAGCTACTCAGGAGGCTGAGGCAGGAGAATTGCTTGAACCTGGGAGACAGAGGTTGCAGTGAGCCGAGATTGTGTCACTACACTCCAGCTTGGGCGACAGAGTGACTCCATCTCAAAAAAATAATAATAATAAAAAAGGAAAAATAGTCAAAAGATTTGAATAGACATATTACCAAAGAAGGTATATGAACAACGAATAAACCCATGAAGAGTTGCTCAGTATCATTAGTCATTAGGGAAAATAATAGTAAAATCATTATACATCTTCTAGAATGGTTATAATAAAATAGGCAATACCAGTTTTGGTGAGGATGCAAGGAAACTGAAACCCTCACATGTTGCTAGTGAAAATGTAAAATGGTGCAGCCACTTTGGAAAACAATGCCAGTTTCTTTAAAAGTGAAACATAAATTTACCAAATAACCTAGTAATTTTATTCACTGAACTCTACACAAGATAAATGAAAACAAATGTCTAAAAAAATCTGTACACAAATGTTCATAGAAGCATTATTTATAATAGCCCCAAACTGGAAACAATCCAAATGTCCATCAACTGGTGAAACAAAATGTGGTCTGTCCATACAATGGGATACTATTCAGCAATAAAAAGGAATAAACTGGCTGGGCGAGGTGGCTTGCACCTGTAATCCCAGCACTTTAGGAGACCGAGGCGGGTGGATCACCTGAGGTCAGGAGTTCAAAACCAGACTGACCAACATGACGAAACCCCGTCTCTACTAAAACTACAAAAACTAGCTGGGTGTGGTGATGTACACCTGTAATCCCAGCTACTCAGGAGGCTGAGGCACATGAATCGCTTGAACCTGGGAGGTGGATATTGCAGTGAGCTGAGATCACACCATTTTACTCCAGCCCGGTGACAAGAGTGAGATTCTGTCTCAAAAAAAAAAAAAAAAAAAAAAAAAAAAAAAAATCAAAACAAAACAAAAAAAACTGCAAATACTCTGTTGCTCTGCCCTGGGGTTGGCCCATGCTCCAACATGGATGAACCTGAAAAATGTCATGCTAAGTGAAAGAAGCCAGACACAAAAAACTATATGTTGTAAGATTCCATTTATATGAAATGCCTAAGATGAATGTGTAGAGACCGAAAACATATGATGGTTGCCTAGAGCTGGGAGCAGGAACAGGGAATGACTGCAATGAGCGAGGGGGAGTTTTTTAGGGTGATGGAAATGTTCTGAAACTGGATTGTGGTGATGGTTACACAACTATATACATCTACTGAAAGTGTTGAAACTGTACACTTACAATGGTAGATTTTATGGTTCTAAATGATATTCAATAAAGCTGTTTAGAAAAGGCCTCAGGCTGAGATCACCTTCATAGGGCGCTCACATACCAGCTGGGTTATGTGAGCTCTACCTCACTGCTCTGGCCTTGGCTGGAGGCTGGCAATGGTGCTCACTTACCTTGGAATCTCCTGAGGGGCTGCAGCAGTTCTTGGGTACCAGGCAGTGAGTAACAAGAATCCTAGGGTCTTTGGTGGTGATGGACAGCCCCTTTTGCAGAATTTGAATCAGTCGGATCCAGAAGTGGAAGACAGTCTCAGGATGGTCAGGGTGGAGCTTTAGGTAATAAATCTTCTCAGTGACTGTCCTCAATCGCAGGATACGTTGATGACGGTCACATACCTGGAGCTCCACAAACTTCAATGGGAGAATCCTGGAGCCACCAGAGAAGATACACATTAACAGCGCTATTGCATCTGATCTGACCCTGTCTTCATCAAAATCAGGAAGGTCTCCTTTAGGACTAAAGCTCTTGGAGGTAGGAAAGAGGATGCTTTAGCACAGGGCTGCTCAAATGCCGGGGAGATCAAATATGCCTCCGGAGCCTGTTTAAAATGCAGATGCCCGAAGACACCACTAAAGAGTCCGATTCAGTAGGAGTCGGTTGTGACCCTGGAATTTGCACTGTAACTTCCACCCACCCTGCCATATTCTCGTGAATCCTAGACTCTATGTGAAAGAGACAGCCTAGGAGGTAAAGTGGCTGGAGTCATAAGATTTTGCAATTTCTTTCTTGAAAATACCAAAGGAGCTTGCCCCACTGTCTGGGTTATGCATTTATTGAGTTTAATGCCACAGTTACTCTTCCCAAGGGAGTTCAAGTTCAAGGAGCTGGCTTTGGACCTAATATGATCAGCTGGGGCTGGGCTGTACTTGCTACATGTACACCAAGAACATCACGGAGAGATGTGTCACTGAGGTAGCATGGAGAAATGAAGGGTTTTCCTGGACTTCTGGGAATATCTAGAGATTCATGAGACATCCTACAGATTATTTAAAGAGGCCCAAAGATTTAAAAAAGGCTACTTCATACCAGACAAGCGTGGTGTCACTACATGCTACAGTTCTAAGTGAGACTTAGTCCCATTTATTTTACTGATAGAAAAACTGGCCAGGTACAGTCGCTCACGCCTGTAATCCCAGCATTTTGGGAGGCTGAGGTGGGTGGATCACCTGACATCAGGAGTTCAAGACCAGCCTGGCGAACATGGTGAAACTCTGACTCTATTAAAAATACAAAAATTAGGCCAGGCGCGGTGGCTCAAGCCTGTAATCCCAGCACTTTGGGAGGCCGAGGGCGGTGGATCACGAGGTCAAGAGATCGAGGCCATCCTGGTCAACATGGTGAAACCCCGTCTCTACTAAAAATACAAAATATTAGCTGGGCATGGTGGCGTGTGCCTGTAATCCCAGCTACTCAGGAGGCTGAGGCAGGAGAATTGCCCGAACCCAGGAGGCAGAGGTTGCGGTGAACCGAGATCACGCCATTGCACTCCAGCCTGGGTAACAAGAGTGGAACTCCGTCTCAAAAACAACAACAACAAAAAAAAACAAAAAAAAAAAACAAAATTAATTGCACGTGGTGGCAGGCACCTGCAATCCCAGCTACTCGAGAGGCTGAGGCAGGAGAATCGCTTGAACCTGGGAGGCTGAGATTGCAGTGAGCCGAGATCCCACCAATTGCACTCCAGCCTGGGCAACAGAGAGAGACTCCGTCTCAAAAACAAAAAAGAAAAAGAAAAAGAAAGAAAGAAAAGAAAAAGAAAAACTAAGGAAAGCAGCAAATAACTTGTGATTTTAAAAATTGAGTCCAGTTAGTTGCACACCAAGAACTAGAAATAATCTCCCTCCCCCAGCCAGTGCTCCATCTGCCAGAGCCCACTGCCTCCTTGCCCTTGGACCAAATGCTGAGAGATTTCCTATGAATTCAGTAGGGTCTGTGCAGCGAGAAAGAAAGTGGGCAGGTAGACTGGCCCTCACTCCTGTCCACATGATGCCTCCCTTTGTCCCACTTGACCTCTATCCTTCCAGTGCACCACCTGTCTTAGGTTGCAGTTGTCTAAAAAAATTTAATGTCACTGCCAATGACAGCTCTATCTTCTCCTTGAGTTTGGTAGTCAAGCAACCTCTGCTTTGCAGCCACCCCTCACCTGTCTTGTCCTCCATTCCCATCTGCATTGCTCACCTCTTCAGGAAGATGTTGGGGACTGTGGATGGTCTGTTCCATGTCTGGCTCTGCCCCTGGTGCCATTTGACATTGGCCATGAGTAGGATGTTGGGGAGGGGCAGGCAGGGCACTGAGGAGGTCACCCCCAGGGCTGTGGTGTTGGAGGCTGTGTGGATCTCTCTCCAATTCCTGCCCCCTTTGACCTGCAACACAGCCCCCAGGCACAACCTGAGCATTTGGCAAAAGCCGCAGTCTGTTTCAGCCCAGGGTTTCTCAACCTCCACACTATTAATGTTTTAGGTCAGATATTCTTCGCTGAGGGCTGGATACTGCCCTGCACACTAGAGAATGCTTAGTAGCATCCAGGACCACTGCCCACTAGTTTTAGTAGCAAGCACTCCCAGCCAACCTGTGACAATGAAAAATGTCTCCAGACATTGTCAAATGTTCCCTGGCAGTAGGGACCAAAAATCAATTCTTGTTGAGAACCACTATGTTGGTTAAACAACTACTAGTATTTAAACAGTATTTCAACGACCTGCTGTTAACAGTTGCCCACAAGAATTATAACCCAGGAGTTCCCTGGCATCTGTCACATTTCTGCCAGTCCTCCCTGGACTGTTTCCTGGCCTTCTTTGAAAAATGTATCCTCTTGGTCCTTCCCTGAGGGGCCCTGTTATCTCCTGCACCCTCACTAAACCGGAAGGTCCTCTCTAACTCCAAAGTGCTGTTTATTCTCGCTTCCATCCAACCAGAGGAGAGCCCAGGCAAGGACACGAACTCGAATCGAGTGCCTGTTAGACCAGGTACTTCGCTTGCTGTATTTGCATTTCATCTTCAGGTCAGTTCAACCCTTTTACATTAAAGGAGCCAGATTTAGGCTGTGCAGGTCCTTCACCTCCCAAGGAGAAGGCAGAGGACTGGAATCTGAGAGCAGCTCTCTCTGGGTCCCCAGATGCTGTTCTTTCTCCAACACACGTTTTAGTTCTTAAGAAAGAGGATGAGTTCAGGTCCTTTGCAGGGACATGGATGAAGCTGGAAACCATCATTCTCAGCAAACTGACACAAGAACAGAAAACCAAACACTCCATGTTCTCACTCATAAGTGGGTGTTGAACAAGAACACATGGACACAGGGAGGGGAACATCACACACTGGGGCCTGTCAAGGGGTTGGGGGAACAGAGGAGGGATAGCAGGAGTGGGGGGATTGGGGAGGGATAACATTAGGAGAAATACCTAAAGTAGACAATGGGAGGGTGGATGCAGCAAACCACCATGGCACGTGTATACCTATGTAACAAACCTGCACGATCTGCACATGTACCCCAGAACTTAAAGTATAATAATAGTAATGATAAAAGAAGCATATATTTTCAATGCGCCTTTTGTTTATCTGCTTCAGGTGACAGCCTGGGCACTGAAGTAAACTGGGGGATTTGAATACCAAATTTCCACTTAGAGCAGAGGATCCCTGATCTTTCTCCCCGGGTGGCAGCTGTTGGTAGAAGCCCTGTCTGGGGCTCTGGAAAGCCCAGGTCAATGGGGATGGCCTTGCATTCCAGGTCCACTAGCTTCTCCTTGCCTCAGTCTCACTCTGCCCCAGTTTCAGGAACGGGCTCTCTCAGTCATATCATGGGAACAGGTTTAGAAGAAACAAAAAGTGCTATTCTGCACTACCCAAGAGTACCTGGACGAAGTTGCTTTCAAACACCGCGGAGTCAGGAAACAAGTTGAATTCTGGAGAATGAAGCATCTGGCAGAGCAGTCCCTCCTCCACACCTAGGGCCACTCCAGGGTTTGGTTCCCCATCCACAGGCAAGAGGCCCCTGAATTCTTCCCAGGCATTCAGGGAAGGGAAGGTTGGATAGGATCGTGTGACTTTTACTGTCCTCTTTGATTTCCTCCAAGTCTTTCTATGTGGAACTGATGACATTTCTACCCATGCTCAGGGGCCTGCTGCACATTTGTCCTGGGATCTCTCTCTCCCCTCCTGGCCTTGGGCAGCTGGCCAAGCCCTGGACCGCCAGTCAGCTCACAATGATGAATGGATGACATCATGAAAAACCAGGACAGACCTCCAGGAAGGGGAAGTGCAGAGGAGCCTCCCTTTTCCTCCAGAGGGCTGTGGGGCTTATCCACACCCTGACATTCTCCAGCCCTTTGCAGAACCCCCGGACATAGTTCTCCCACAACTTGCTGAGAAAGCAGTAAGCCAGGCAGAAAGCAAGGAAGGAGGGCTGTCAGGAAGCTCCTTCCACCGGTAAGAGGAAAATACCCTTCCTGCCTTTCAATGCTTCCTTACTCTGAATGCAACCTATCTCACACAACTTTAAAAGCTGTGTGTCCATTGAAAGCCCCGTCTTCCTAAGCTTTGCATCATGTGGGATCTGCAGGTGATGGAAGCAGATGCAGGGGAGTTGGTGCCTGCTCTGTGTTCCGCCGAGGCAGGCTGATTTCTTTTGCAGGACTTATTTCCCTTTGGAGGTCAAACTGAAGAAGCAGGAGAAGTAATTCATTTCCTGTCCAGAGGCTGGATTTGTCAGGGCGCTGGCTGGGAGGAATAGAACCCCGATGAGCAGCTCTGCCAGGTCCACAAGCCGTTTCCCCTCTTGAAGAGTGACAGTGTCCCTCACCCCTGAGCCAAAGGAGGAAAGAGCCCAAATCATGGGCTGCTAGGTCACGGGGAAAGAACCAAGCAGGCTGACACTCTTCAAGGCCATTCCTGGGAGAAACTGTTTCCTAATTTGGACCAAATTCTGAATTTATTATGTAATGAATTAACCATCAAGGTCAAATGTGACAAATATAGAAAAGGAGTTTGACAACAATTAAACACAAAGGACAAGCATGGAGGCTGACTTTTGTATTTCATCATAAAGTCAGGGAGAGGCCTAAAGGGCCTAGAGGCTCTCCCAACCCACCAACAGTCCTTCCCTCTAGTCATTCAGATCACACCCCTGCTCAAGCATCTGTTATAGCTCCTGGGTCGGCGAAGCAACTTCCGACCTCACTTTTCTCATTATCTTTTGTTTACCAGGTAGGAAAAGTGTCCTCATGGTCACATTCTCTAAGGATCAGATCAGAGACGACGCCCTGTGGTTTGCATTTCCCTGGAAATAACCTAGAAAGGGAACACACAGCACAAAAATGTAGTAATTAGTAAATTGATATGTTGCTGTTCACAGTTAAAGCTTAACCACAACAATAAAGCTCACTGGTTTAGATATACAGTTTGCATATACTTGGCCATTGAGACACCCAAGAGTCAGTTGGGGAGATGACTTCTCTTTTCCATGCAAGTCTGTTAAGCCCACTTCTTCTTTTTTTTTTTTTTTTTAAAGGTGGGCTTTCACCATGATGGCCAGGCTGGTCTTGAACTCCTGACCTCAGGTGATCCACCCACCTCGGCCTCCCAAAGTGCTAGGATTACAGGCATGAGCCACAGCGCCCGGCCTGTTAAGCCTACTTCTATGGTGTTCATCAACCCTCAGAGGAAGAAGGCTTGAGCGCCCAACCTAGAAAGCTGATTGTGAGCAAGTAAATTTTTCATTCTAAACAAGATGCTAAGCAGTTGTATAAATGGTGCTTTAAGGTGCTCACACCTGTAATTCTAGTGCTTTGAGGAGCTGAGGCTCCTAGGAGGATTGCTTGAGGACAGGAGTTCAAGGCTACAGTGAGCTGTGATCTCACCACTATACTCCAGCCTGCACAGCAGAATGAGACCCTGTCTCTATTAAAAAAAAAAAAAAAGCCGGGCACGGTGGCTCAAGCCTGTAATCCCAGCACTTTGGGAGGCCGAGGCGGGTGGATCACAAGGTCAAGAGATCAAGACCATCCTGGTCAACATGGTGAAACCCCGTCTCTACTAAAAAAAATACAAAAAAATTAGCTGGGCATGGTGGCGCGTGCCTGTAATCCCAGCTACTCAGGAGGCTGAGACAGGAGAATTGCCTGAACTCAGGAGGCGGAGGTTGCGGTGAGCCGAGATCGCGCCATTGCACTCCAGCCTGGGTAGCAAGAGCGAAACTCCATCTCAAAAAAAAAAAAAAAAAGATGTGCAGTCCTTCCTACTTCCCCCCACCAAACCTCAAAAACGAGCATATTGAATCTTTTTAGAAACAATTTGAGAGATGCTTAGTTGTCTATTAGTTGTCTGTCCTAAGACCCATTCTATTTTTTTTATTTTTTGAGACCAGGTCTCACTCTGGCCCAGGCTGGAGTGCAGTGGCATGATCTTGGCTCACAGCAACCTCCATCTCCTGGGTTTAAGCGATTCTCCTGCCTCAGCCTCCCAAGTAGCTGGAATTACAGGCATGAACCACCATGCCTGGCTGATTTTTGTATTTTTGGTAGAGATGGGGTTTCACCATCTCGAACTCCTGTCCTCAAGTGATCAGCCCCCTCTTGGCCTCCCAAAGTGCTGGGATTACAGGTGTGAGCCACCATGCCTGACCAATTCTGTTTTCTTTCTTTCTTTTTTTAGTAATAGAATACTTAATGATTCGTTGGACACAGGTCTCCTATAAGAAAGATTACATTTCCTGGCCTCCCTTGCAGCTAGGTAAGGCCATGTAACTACCTTCTGGAAAAGGAGATGTAAAATTATTTACCAAGAATTTTAAGCAATGAAGAAAATAAGGTTAATTTACAGGAAATGAGGACTGTAGGAATAATAAACTTGTAGCTTCTGGGGAAAGTTATATAAATGTAGGTTCCAATAACTTGCCCCAAAAATTGCTTTTTCCTCCTTGCATATTCAGTAATGTTGATGCTGACACAAATACTACTGTTTGCACATTTAGTGATGAAAACTTTGGTGACAGCCTTAACCATGCTGACTGTCCTTTGGTCTGAGGCTAAAGCCATGTTGGCAGGGCAAGGTATCATTTCATAGCTTGCCCAGGAATTATCAGAACATCTGGTTGTCAGTTGGGACTGGACCCAGGTTTTGTGAAGCTAAGAGTTTGTAAAATTTTAGAAACTCTTAAAAATAAAAGACTGGATGGAGGGGATCATAGGGAGCTATTGTTTAATGGGTGCAGAGTTTTATTTAGGGAAGATGAAAAAGTTCTGGAGATGGATGGTGGTGATGGATGTGAAACAATGGGAATGTACTGAGTGCCACTGAACTGTATACTTAAAATGGTTAAAATGATACATTTTATGTTGTGTGTATGTCACCACAGTGAAAAGACACTAGAACTTAACAAACAAAATTAAAACCTCCCCAAAAGTATGATATAAAATTGCTAGGGTCCTCCTAGGGCCTCATGAGGCCCATATGATTTAGAGGCCCTGAAGCTTAAGTTTTATTATCTTTGTGGTAAGTCTGTCCCATTTAAATCTATGTCACTATTTAAAACACTTTATTATTACATAAGCAGTGCACAGCTTTGAAGAATATTGGAAAATACAGCAAGGATTTGTTTGTTGTTTTGAGACAGGGTCATGCTTTGTCATGCAGGCTGGAGTGCAGTGGTGCGATCTCAGCTCACTGTAACCTCTGCTTCCCGGGTTCAAGTGACCTTCTTGCCTCAGTCTCCCGAGTAGCTGGGATTGTAGGAGCCTGCCAACACACTCGGCTAATTTTTCCATTTTTAGTAGAGACGGGGTTTCACCATATTGGTCAGGTTGGTCTTGAACTTCTGACCTCAAGCAATCCACCCTTCTCTGCTTCCCAAAGTGCTGGGATTACAGGCGTGTGCCACCACGCCATACAGCAAGTGTTTAATAAAACTCAGCATAGTCCTTCCTCCTGGAAGGGTGTGTGATGAGATCATACTTTAAATATTGTTTTTTTTTTTTTTTTTTTTCTTTTTGAGGCGGAGTTTCACTCTTGTTACCCAGGCTGGAGTGCAATGGCGTGATCTCGGCTCACCACAACCTCCGCCTCCTGGGTTCAGGCAATTCTCCTGCCTCAGCCTCCTGAGTAGCTGGGATTACAGGCACACGCCACCATGCCCAGCTAATTTTTTGTATTTTTAGTAGAGACGGGGTTTCACCATGTTGACCAGGATGGTCTCGATCTCTTGACCTCATGATCCACCCGCCCCGGCCTCCCAAAGTGCTGGGATTACAGGCTTGAGCCACCGCGCCCGGCCCTAAATATTGTTTTATAACTTTTTAATAACCTGCTTCATTTAGTTGACACTCTCTGCCTTTGTGTATTTTCCTCTTACCTAATTTTCAGACCATATTATACTTTCTCCAGTTAACCAAAATTATTACTATAGCTGGTTTACCCAAATCCTTACCCAATCCAGGACCAAGCGTGTTCCCTTAGCTTATTTTAATCTGATATATTTCCCTTTTTAGGACACTTATTAGTGAAAGCAATTGAATGAGTTTTCCCGCAGCATGCCCTATCTTCTAGGTTTCTCTGCTTGCTTCCATGGGGTGATGTTTAGCTTGATTCTCTACTGCTTATTTCCTGTGAAATAGAAGCTCTATCTAAAGGGTTACTGGATTCAAGGTAGACATTTAAAAAAATTAAAATAGTCACTATTTCTTAGTAAAGCTCTGTCACAGGATCTCTGTAAGATACTACTCTTCTCTCCCCCAAAAAATGCCAGGAGGAAAATACACATGAGCACTGCATATCAAAAGCATAATGATCCCAGGAAGTAGAGGAAAATATTTGATAAAACTCTTCTCCAAACTCCCAATAAAATTAAATATAATATGGGCCCTCTGAAAGAAAAACATAGAGATACCAAAATAAGAGAAAACGATGAAATGGTAACCAAAAGAGGTAAGCAAAGAAACAAGAAAAAGACACTAAAGATCTGGAAGTCGGCCGGGTGCAATGGCTCGCGCCTGTAATCCTAGCACTTTGGGAGGCCAAGGCAAGCAGATCACCTGAGGTCAGGAGTTCAACACCAGCCTAACCAATGTGGTGAAACCCTCTCTACTAAAAATACAAAAATTAGCCAGGCATGGTGGCACACACCTGTAGTCCCAGCTACTCGGGAGGCTGAGGCGGGAGA